TATATATGGGGGGTGAGGAGTTTACCTTTTCGTCTGCAGCTGATTTGGCACCGTCCTCCTCTGGATTCTTGACGGCGGGCATTCGGGCCACGTAGAGGCCGTTGAGCGCGGCCATCATCAGCGGTCTGTTCATGGAGTCCACAGACATCTTTTGTCTTTCCAGCGTCTTCAAGAGAGAGGAAAATCCCGGCGTCATGATATCAGAAGGCCAACRACTGAGCAGCCGTGGAAACTTAAAACGTCTGCATATGTTTTTATGGTTTAGTCTCACAAGTCCAGTTTACAAAAACTATTAGAAGTTCTGCATCTTCTTATCCTCACATCCTTCCATGCACATTTTAGATCACCTCTTCTTTCTGATCATGCCCCCCACCCTACCTTACCTGCCTACTTCTTTCACGAAGCATAGTCTGTCCCACRAGCTTTTTCTTGCTGCACAATGCAGAGCCCCTCCTTCCACCAAGGATTATCTCGTCTAACCTGTGATGCTATTAAACCTCTAAGGCAGCTCCGCCTCCTCTATCCACTGTGGGACAGTCAAAACAACAGCTTGAGAGTCCATAAAGTCCCTTTATGTATTAGAAAAAAACATGCTGGTTGAAATAGGTTTGGACAGAATTAAATCATGTTGAAGGTTTACAGACACGAACACTACCAGGTCAAACACGGACAGAAGAATTTATTTACCAGATATTATACGTTTGAACCCATAGCAGGACTGAGATGCTGTGTCATCCGTTTTTGTCTAACCTACACAAGAACAACCGACTCGAGGAATAATCTGAGGGATTTGTAARGCTTTTAGCTGCCTGGGGGGAATTCAGAGCCTAGTGCAACCTTATGTGCTGAAACTTAAATTACTGCTAATCAGAAGCTGTGAACCCTTCAAGTAAACAACAGAGCATAACATTTGAACATATCTCTGATTATAATGAGACAATTTCAAAGCTACATGAAGATTACATGCATATTTAATCTAAAAATATCTGAACCTATACAAGTTTTAAAGGTACTACACTGCAAAAAATGTCCACCTAACAAAGTTTTAAAATCTTATATCCAGCCAAAAAGTCTTTTTTTATCTTGTTTTGAGACTGATAAGAACTGATTATGTAAGAATAATAATCTTGTTTTCAGAAAGTGTAAGATTATTTGTCTTGTTAGCCTGAAAATTTGACTCAAATTAAGTCAAAAATTTCTGCCAATGGAGTAAGAGAATTTTACTTGGTAAGATTCTTGAAATACTTGATTTGACTCATTTTTTCTTATTTCAAGAATCTTACCAAGTAAAATTTTCTTACTCCATTGGCAGAAATTTTTTGACTTAATTTGAGTCAAATTTTCAGACTAACAAGACAAATAATCTTACACATTCTGAAAACAAGATTATTATTCTTACACAATCAGTTCTTGTTTAGTAAATCAGTCTCAAAACAAGATCAAAAAGACTTTTTGGCTGGATATAAGATTTTAAAACTTGGTGAGATGGACAGTTTTTGCAGTGCATAAGTAGTAAATAAAACTTCTTATTATTAATACACTGGGAGAAGCTTTGGCCCTGTGATAGGAAAGCTGTCTTTTATTCGATGGATTGAAGGTCCRAGCTTATTGGTGAAGGAGTGAGAATTGAAACGGATAGAAAGGTGGAGAAGTGGTCATCTTACCCTCTGAGCAAACTCCCTCTCCACGATACTGTCTTGCAAGGAGAACATCTCTGACACCGGCCTCTCCCTCACCGGCTCCTTCCTCACCCTCTCCTTCACAATAGTCAAGTCTGGTTCTGAAATGGATGGACCTAAAACGGCTCCGTTAACCGCGCTCTGGTCCCCTCGGGTCAGCGTTCCACCTGCGCCCCCTCCACCAACGCCCTGGCTCTGACCACTGTCAAGGCCTTGATCTAGGTCCGTTGGTTCATAGCTGCAGTGTGGTCCTGGGTTGTGGTTGTGACGCTGGGCGGGGGCGTGATTGTGAGAGCGGATCGGAGCGTTGGCGGGAGGTCTCGGAGGGCCGGGGTACTCTGGAGGGGGTTTGTTGGGCAGTTTAGCCAGCGCAGCCTGAAGCTGAGCACTGATGCTGATGTTCTCGTTGAGGCCTGGGATCTGAACGTCCAGTTCAGGCCTCTCCTCTTCCTCCTCCTCTTCGCTCTCACTGCTGTGTATTAGCATGGTAGCATTGGAAAGAGTCTTTTGGTGCTGGTAGGCCACTGCTTTCGGTGGCGCTACAGAAGCCTCAGGTGCATTCTGGGTGGGTTTCTGTACGGGCAGCTCCTTGGGCTGCTGGGGTGGAGGCTGCGGCTGAGAAGATGGCATCACGTGTTCTCTAAGAGTGTTCCTCCTRAGAAGGGGGCCGTTCATGCTCTTTATCGCCAGCCCTTCCATCCCACCWCCTCCGCCCCTCATGCTGCTGATGACTTCCATGCTATGTCTCTTGTTCAGAGTGGACCGATGCTTCAAGGCTGCAGTTAACGGCTCACTAACTTCCTGCAGGGATTGGTGGACTACCGCCGAGCTGTCCGGCTGGAAGGTCTTGACGGACAGCTGCACCATACGGGTGACCAGCTCAGGACTGCTGCCCCCGATGCAGCGAAGACGGTGGCTGGCGAGGTCCGGCGTGCTCGTAGCTGGGCGGAAGGAGTTGGAGGGGTAAGGTGGAGGAGGACGGGACATGTGGTTTCTTAACATATTGGCCGTAGCTGCGTAAGTTCCCATGTTGGTTCCTTGCTGTTTGGTGTTTGCCAGCTCAGGCGTGCTGACAGTGTGAGAGATGGAGCTTCCAACACCTTCGCTGCYGTTTCCTCCATTAACACAGGGTGAGTGACAGGGACCCTGGCCGCTGACTGGTCCGCCTGTATGTGGGCCATGAGACACTGGCTTACTGTAACTAATCTGTAAAATAAACATTAAGAAACAAAATACTGGGTAAGGTGCAATAAATCAAAGAGTTTAAATAAAAGTCCAACACAATCGAGTTCTACCTGTGGTGTGTAAGGTCCAGGACTGGGGCCAAGGCCATGATAAGGTCCCCTCTCCCTGATTTCTGGCTGGCTATACACTAGAGCCTCCGGCTTCCGATACGCACAGGCGTTACTAATGTTCAAGCTGCGCATCGACTGGCTGTGGAGGTCATGGTGGGCGGGGACCATGCGCCTCTTCTGCCGCATGACGGCGTCGTACTCGGGCGTGGGCCGGTACGACGGAGCAATGATGGCACTGTGGCGGTGGCTGGGGATGTAGTCCGGACGCATGAGCTCGCTGCCAGGGATGCTGAGGTTGGAGGACATGGGTGAAGGTGCAACAAAAGTCTGGGAACGATTGAGGGAGCTCAGGCTGGGGCTGCTGTACATGCTTCCGTTGGTCACTGTACCGTTTCGGAAAGGAAAGTCCCCCGGACATCGATCCAGACTGCTTTCTGATTTGTAGTAAGGGTCTTCATGGAAGATGCTGTCTACAGGGCAGAAAAGATATTATTACATCCCAACTGGGTCATCCTATGCCATACAATGGGTTCAAGCTGAGCATCTTAGATTTTGAAGAATCATGAATGGGAGTAAATTTCAGGAAAGGTCAGCCTAATATACCCAGTGGAAAGATATCAAGTCATGCTGAGGATGTTTCTCACAAATCAGATTAATCTACAGCTAATATGAGTTTGATCCAAAGAGACACACTACATATTCATGTAATTATGTACATTTAAAATGTATTTCATGGGTAATTTCTCCTAAACAAAAAATATTATGATTTTGAATGTTTTAGATAACAAGTGGGGGATTTAATTTCAGGAAAGGTCATCTCAACGGCATCCACAAGGTCTATTTCTAGGTTTAATGGACTCTTAACAGGCTCAAGTCAAAAATGTAAAGGCAGATTTGGAATCTTTATGAAGTTTATTTTCTAACGACACCAACTTTGTAAAATTTGACCCGGTCTTTCGTGAGGTAGGTGGGGTTGAAAAGAAGCAGATACGCCCTTTTCTGCCAAAAACATAATGGTGGCGGGGCATATCTCTGGATCCACTGGTCCGATTAACCTCACATTTGACCTACTGTGCCGTGGGATCACAATGAACAAGTTTCATAAAAATATGTGAGGGTCAAGTTAAAATTTCCTCTTTTTTGGGGTGATTTAACACAGAATGACCCAAATGTTTTAGCTGGCAAAGAAACAGATAAAAGAAAAAAAACATGATTTAAAAAGAGGAGATAAATGATTGCTGAAGTATGTGATAATAATCACTTTACTTTAATGTGAAAAATACATGAAGTATCAAGTGAACACAGACGAACCAAACGTGATGCTTGAGGTCACACTGCAGCGTGATCTCACACCCACACACAGCAGCACACCCAGAATGTTTTCCCCACTTTAGTTTTATTGTCAAGCCGACGTGAGGAAAGCTCTTTGGATCATAAGGCACGCTGAGTGTGTGAACGAGTCAATGAAAGAGCGTAGCACATATGAGGTCATCGCTCCGAGCCCCAAAAGTAAGGCTCTAATTGGCTGGGAGACGGCTAAAAATACAAATGAGCTGTGAGTCAGACGGCTGGTGGGAACGACACAATTAGCTCAACTCAGTCGTTTGACTGATTGTCAGGCAGGCAAAAAAAAATTTTAAATCATGCTGTGGTTTAAGTGGTGAGATGGAGAAGGGGTAGAGCTTGTTTTAAAACTGTGCATTTTTTTTACACTTACCTTGAGAGCTTTGCAAGTCCTGGTAATGCTCATGCACTGACTGGAAGTTACAGGACCGGGGCCGGGGCTGAACAAAGAAATACATTTACCACAATTAAAAGGCAGCACTTTAGGTGTTTCTAATTATCTCCAATGTTTTTTTCTTTGCATTTTCTTTGCTTTAAAGAGTAAAGCAAAGAACGATTCATAAAACCGTGTGAATGCGACAGATTCAGATGTACACCGGAGCTGGACTGTGCAGTTCTCTGGTGGAATCAATGAACATCTGTTGTACCTAATTTAGTCTACCCATTGTCTGGTCTGCTGGGAAGGAGACACAAAAATCACTGCCCTCATTGTCACACCGGAAGCAACACCCATGTTAACTTTCCAACAACACCAACGCACGTTCAAACTGAGAGTTCACAACAGAACCAGAACTCACCCTGAGCAGGATCACTTCTCTAACCACAGCTATTTCTGAATCCACTTCGTCTTTGCTTGTCGTAGATCTGTGCCTAATTCTAGTTTTATCCATCATTTCTGAATAATTTGCTCCCAAGAAAGTGTATGTTGTTCTAGTTTTATTTAGGTGATTTTCAGTTGATATTTGTCAAGCTTTCTGAAAGTTTTTAATGATTTTTCTTAGGACTTTGGCTTCTTTGTCAATGATCTTCGGTCCCTGATCATCATCAAATAGTAACTACCTAAACATTTGATTAGAAATTGTTTTACTAAGTTGTTTGTTGTGTCTACACATACCAGATATTCATCTTCAGAAAGCGTAAAAACTTGAAGATGATTTCAAAAGATTAAAGGCAGATTGGCTGCTTGGAAGTGAAGCATCAAAGAATTTAAGGTTCCAAACTTGAAGCAGTTACAATGTTTGTTTGTTTGTTTTTTGTTTTTTTGAGAAGAAAAAAAATCTTATATCTGCCCCTTTTTTCTCAAGTATCAATTCAAACTATAATAATCTTCAGTTAACAAAACAAAAACATCAAATCTTTCTAGAACAACAAATTGAACAGCTACATATTAAACTGTTTCAGATGTTTTTAACAATCTAGTCTTTATCATTCTCTTAAACATATACACTGATTCGGCACTTTTAATATCATCTTCCAAATTATTCCACAATCTGACTCATTGGATTGAGGTGCACCGTTCTTTCAAACAGGTTAAAATTTAGGTTTCATGAACAACTCTGTCCCTTTAAGATTATTACAGCTCTCTCTCTTTACAAAGTTTATCTGAATGTTTAAAGGTAATGTGTTTTGGTGTGCTTTATACATAACTAACAAAATGTTATAAGCAACCAAATCATAGAATTTCAATAATTTCAGTTTACAAAATAATATATTAGATAAATAATGGTAATGTTTTCGAGTGATAATTCTTACAGCTCTTTTTTGCAAAACAAAAACAGGATGTGTAATAGTCTTAAATGCTTTACTCCATACCTCAACACAATAGACCAAGTGTGGAACAATTAATGTGTTATATAACATATACATAGCTTTATCATTAAACAAGTCCCTTACTTTGTAAAGCAATGCAATAGATTTATAGTTTTATTCTTAAATAATTTATATGAGGTTTCCATGTCAGTTTCTCATCAATAATAACACCCAAAAACTTTACCTCACTGACTGTTTATCTCTACACAATCAACTCTAAATGGAATGTTAACAGTTCTTTGTCTCTTTGTAAATATCATATAATTAATTTTATTTAAATCTAATGATAATGTGAAGTTTAAAACAATTTTGTATTTTTCACAAATTCTGCTTGCATTTCCTCTAACATCCGTTCTGTCTTTACCCAAACAAAAAAAATGTATCATCTGCAAACACAACACATTTAAATAGTCCTGACACATCGACAATGTAAACTGTACCAGAGACAGGCGATGGTTCCAGGTGGGTCTCCTCCTAATTGGTGCAGGCGAGTGAGTGGGCCTAAAGAAAAAAAATGGTGTAAATGGGTATTTCACGCACTTTAAGTACTATAACTTCTTTATCCCCATTTTTAAACTGATAATAACAAACTTTGTTTTGTAACTGCACAACCTTCCATCTCCGTTCTACAAACTACACACTGGGCTGTAAGTGCTCTTGTGGCCTTCAGATGGTCTGTCGGGGCAACCTTGAGACTTACTCTATGCAGATTTTGTTCTGTTTGTAGAATTTGTGTCTGGCCGTGAAAAGTCGAGCGATGTACTTGGCCATTTCCATATCCTCCTGCAGAGACGCACGCAGTTAAAAAAACATCGTGTTCGAATGTGCCGAGCGGCGCATCCTGCAGACACAACACTCACCATGTGAAAATTGATGGTGTCGTCTCGGCTCGTTATCTCCACTGTGATGGCTGACTTGTTGTGTGCTATGGTGCCGATGTCCTTCCACCTGTCGTACACACAGGCACACGTGAAAACAACAATGCAGGCAAGAACTCTCTTTTTCCCACCGTTTTGAACTAATCCCAGAATATAGCGCTTACTTGTGGAGCATAATGGATCTGCCATTTCTGTGTTTGACAAACAGCCCGATGAATGAGACACCGATGAAAATATCATTTGTGTAGTTGTCCTGTGGGGAAAAGGAAGAGGATATTAGGTGGTGCTGCCTCATTAGCTTTGAAAAAAAAAAAAGCTACTGGTGACAGAATTTATCCACCTTAGCTAGAAAGCTCTCCTGGCCAAAGCTGTCGAGTTTTTCCACCTCCTTGATGTACAGCAGTTCTGCCTCAGCGGGCTGCATTCCACTTTAAATTACAAACAAACGTTTAAGACAAGAAATTTTATTCAAGGGGCAGTTAAGACCTTTTGAAGCGGGAGTAAGGATTTATAAAAAATATTTTTGAAATTGGAGTCCTTTTCGTTTTGGTGTTGACAAGGCTAGCAGTTAGCGTGTCAACACTGCAAAAGCTGTCCATCTTACCAAGTTTTAAAATCTTATATCAGCCAAAAAGTCTTTTTGATCTTGTTTTGAGACGGATTTACTAAACAAGAACTGATTGTGTAAGAATAATAATCTTGTTTTCAGAATGTGTAAGATTTTTGTCTTGTTAGTCTGAAAATTTGACTCAAATTAAGTCAAAATTTCTGCCAATGGAGTAAGAAAATTTTACTTGGTAAGATTCTTGAAGTAAGAAAAACGAGTCAAATCAAATATTTCGAGAAGTTTTACCAAGTAAAATTTTCTTACTCCATTGGCAGAAATTTTGACTTAATTTGAGTCAAATTTTCAGACTAACAAGACAAATCTTACACATTCTGAAAACAAGATTATTATTCTTACACAAACAGTTCTTGTTTAGTATACAGTCTCAAAAC